TTGGGCTATTGGAAATTTGAATTTCAAATTGAGCAGCAGATTGTGGGTGAGTCTAGAACAAGATGTGGGCAGCGAGGCTGCCGGCAATCAATTAAGTACATTATAAATAAGCAGAAACTTGATTTCAGTTTCAAATTAATTGCGGCCCACAAACTGAATGTTTTCTATAATGCTGAGAGAGTTTTACCTGAAAGGGCTTACAGAAAAGTTTAAGTAATATAAGAATAGCAAGGAGTATAACTACCATACATAGACTGCTGTAAGACTTTAATTACAGCCTCTGCTTCTGATTCTCTTAGCCAAGAACTAAAACAAAACAATTAAGAATCTTTCAGTTGGGCGCTACCGACTGCATAATACTCATTCAATAACTTTTGATATGAGGGTATATCACTTTACAACATACATATATAAACATATATTATTTATATACATATAATTATATAATTATATATTTAATAGATCAGAGTTGCATCTTTAAGTATCTAGTTTTGAATATATTTGATTTAATCTCTTTCTTTTTAGATGCGTATTATGAGTATTATTATTAGTATTATTATTATTATTAGATGAGTATATATTCCAAATCTCATTCAAATCAAATTCCTAGCAGCAATAGTCTTGACAGAATATGTACAAACCACTATATAGTCAGATCCGCTTTGCCACAGCCCCAGTAGGCGTGAACCTATAATTTGTTCGTCTGTAGAGGATTTTAACAGTAACTCAAGCTGGTGGGCCAGTTCTAAAACTATGTAATATAGAGTTTTAGCAGGTTTGCCACGCCTAAAATAGGCGCACATCCATCCACTATATCTACCTGAGCTCAGATTGTCAACGAGCGTTTATATTTACCACTCTTACTAATAATATTTCTATTGTATAAGATATGCTATTTTCCGGCTTACTACGCCTCTAGTAAGCACCTAGGGAAAGCCTTCACGACACAGCTAAATCTCAAATCTGTAGCTACAAAAGTTTGCATTCAATGCATAAAGCTAATATGCCCTTTATCAGTGCGTGAATAAGTTTAGTAATATTTGGCAACATAATCGATTAAGTTGTGAAACTTCTGGCCAAAATTGTGCTAGCTGCAATTGGACGGAATGTTATATAAGCCGCAAATCTGTTGCGACAAGTCAAGTTATAAAAGTATCTAAAAGCGCCAAAAAGTCAAGTAACAAGTCGAACTTTTAGCTTCAGTAGTTAAAAGTTTTAACACTGTTTGTTGTCGTTGTTATTATTGTTGTTGTTGCTCGGTTTGACAACAAAAATACGGCAATAGCAATTAAATTGCTTTTTGCTTTTTGCTTTTGTTGTAGGCTCAATTCAAGACGAGCGCAATTAAAATGAGAAACTTTATTCATATAGTCGACGTCGACGTCGACGTCGACGTTGTTGCTGTTGGCCACACTAATTGCAATTGACAAAAGTGAAAGTGGGCGAGCGAAACATACAAAAATTAATAGATTTATATGAGCTGCAACTAAATTAAATTGAAAATAGATATGTATATATATGCAACAAAGTTATTACGTGGGCGCACAAAGCTTCGGCTTGTTTGTCATTGCTAAAAAAGTTAACAAAACTAGGTTTTCTTTTATTTTATTTTATTTTTTTTTTTGCTTTTGCCGTTGCTGTTGCTGGCCGCACAAAGCCTTTGGTTTGTCTAGAGTTGATGAGTAATTTACAGGCATTTTTCTATGCCAAGTTTTTTGGGCGCTGCTTTGCCTTTGCCTCTGAAATAGTTTCGGCTTCGGTTTCAGTTTCAGTTTTTCAACTTGCCATGAAATATGAAACAACTTTATTTCATTGTCAGTGGGTCTGTGCGGTTGGAAAAACCGGCTAAGCTGGGAGCTAGGCCCGAAAAAAAAAGAAAAAAAAAAACAAAACATACAGCCTAGCGCGTTAGAAAAAAAAAATGGTAACGAAACGAAACCAAACGAAAGTGAAAGTAGGCCAAACTCATCAGCGTGGCCAAGAGAGGCTACACTATGTGTGAGTGTGTTTTGTAGGCCTAAACCCAAAAACCGTTTGCACTCGTAACTCTATCTGAAATATCTGTCCCACTCCAACTATTTAGCCCTCTCTCTTTTTGCGTCTTTCGTCGTTTTCATTTCACTTTCGTTTTCTGTTGCCGCATCAAAGAAAAGTGAAAATTATGCAGTGAAAATGCTGAACAGACGTTGCGTTGATTTAGTCATTAAATGTTTGCAACTGGGAAAGTGGCATAAAATTCGAATGGATTTCATAGTAGATATATATATATATATATAAATATATATATGTGTGTGTATATAGCACATAAATACAATCTGAATTGAGTGGAACGCTGACGATTTGTATTTACATAACTATAAAACTTTGTGCTTTCCATTCGCATTTGAAACGTGGCTACGGACTTGAGTCAAAATCAACTTTTGATTTCGATTTTAACACATTTTCTGCTTGGCAAAATTAAGATTAATTTTGTTGCATTCAATCACATGATATAGTTAATTTTTTAGATATATATATATATATTCAAAATAGCTCCCACGCTGGCTGTAAACTAAAAATGACCAGCGCGTATTTGCTGCAAATAAAATCATAAAAATCGCCACAAATTTCCACTCGACGTTCAGTTTAAGCGATATAAAAAAGTCATAAAATCAATTTCAATCGAAAAGGCAAAAAAAAAAAAACACAAAAAAATTGAGAGAAACGCCAAATACCAAAACATACTCAAGAAATTATGAGCGGCAATAGAAATATGCCGAAATATGCCACAAACAGCCAAGAAAACAAAAACAAAAACAAAAATGAAGCAAATTGGAAGCTATAAATCAAAGACCAAAATATGCGCAAAAATGTTTGAGAATAAATAAGATTACTCTGAGCGGGAGTGCACAGCTAGAAGATGCTCTCACCAAACGCAATTATTACTATATTAATGATCGGCCCGAGGTACTTTATAAATATCATTAGCATAAGCAATATCAGTTTTATTATGCTATGAATCTTCATTATTAACAATATCATTCTCATTACAATTCTTTGAAATTAGCCTTATTTATTTTATAATCATTATTATTGTTACTTTTATTTTTATGAACAGTAACTCTATCATCATAATTCTTATTGTTATCCGTACTATAATTGTCATTTGTATTAACATTCTCAGGTTTATCATGCTCATAATATTCATTATCATTGTCATTTATAATAATTATTGTCTATCATCACAATTCTTATTATTATCTGTAGAATAGCTCAAGAGCTTCCCTTGAAATTGGTTTTTGTACTAAGCCAATATAATATATAAATTGTGTTAGTGTCCTCTTAAGTCTCTCTAAATTAGCTTAGACTTTTCCTGAATAAGAATACATACAGACTTCAAAGCTACGCAGTTAGCTTTAACCATCCAAGGAGTTTCAGGGTATTATAAGATTGAGTCACAGACAATGCAACGTACCCGACTCTCTCTCTTTCTTTCTCTCTCTCTGCCATGGCTAAATTTGATGGCAAGGTGTCATAGACTTGGCGTGACCTGGCGTCGCCATCTCCGTTGCCGTTGCCGTTGCCAGCGAACAGTTAAGTGGCAGATACATTTGTATTTGGAGTATTTCGTTTAGTTTGTCGCTACATTTGTATCTGTGCGAGCGACAACCACAATGACAGACGGAACGTGCAATTAATGATTGCTGATTTCGGGGCGTGATGTCGCAATATTCAATGAGCTTCTAATGACTCGCACATGAGTCCATATATCGTCTGCTGTTTCACATTTCTTTTCGTGCCTGTCTGCACATACAGTTAGGTTTTTGTCTAAGTCTAGACCAGGTAAATCCACAGTTACGGCTACAGCTACAGCAGCTGCTATTTAATTACGGCTCTGAGCAACGTTTGCCATGTGATGTCTTGTTTTTTTCCATTGCTTCGAGAATTTTGACAAATTCTCGTTGGAATTCCTTAACAACAAAATTGTAGAAGGCTTAAATTAGCAAAGGGTAAGAATTTCGAAAATATGCCAAAAATGTTGTGTGTGAACAATGTAGATAATTATCAACTCTGAATGAGAAATCATTAAAAATTATGGTTTTTTGTGTCTTTATTTAAATTTTAAGCAAGAAATGGGGATTAAAATGGGCAATGGGATTTTTGGAAGATTTGTTGTCTTAAGCTAAAATTTGAGCTTATTTTATGCCTTTAACATTTCGTGCGCATAGTAAAACATTTATGTCTGCTTAGATATCTAATTCGCATATAATATTTAATGCTTTCATCAATTATTATACTATATTATTGAATTATAGTTATTTTATAATAAAAATAACTAAAGTTTGACATAATCTAGCCTATTTTTTCTCTCTAAGATTAAAAAATTAACTAAAAATCTGCAATCTTTTTTTAACTCATTTCCAATTAATTTAAAAAATTAAATTAATTAAATTAAATTAATTAAATTAATTTAAATGAATTATTAAATAATATTAATATATTATATTATATACAGTTGTCATTAGTTTTATTTTTATCTTTTTTTTATTCCTTTTTATTATTATTATTATTTCTTGGCTTTTATTTTTCTTTTAATTTTTTTTTATTTTTTCATTTTTAATTTTTTTTTATTATTTCCTTTTTTAATTTTTTTTATTTTTATTTTTTTTTTTTAATTTTTTTTTATTTTTATTTTTATTTTAATTTTTTTATTTTTTTTTTTAATTTTTTTTTAAATTTTTTTATTCTTATTTTATTTATTTGTTTTTTTTTTTATTTTTATTTATTTTTCAACATTGCTAATTAGTGCAACATTTAATTACTTTATTAGCATTTTTATTTTTAGGGCCAACAACACCAACATCTTGCACAGACAATTGCATAGCTTACAGCAGCTGTCATTTGAGGCTTGAACAACGCATTCGTCTTAATGCCACTCGTTTTCCTTACTTTATCTCAAGTTCTTTGTGCTCAAGTCTTATTTACTTCTGCTCAATTTTCTTCTTTTTTTGTGCACTTACCCTGCATTTTCGGCTGCAGCAATTGACATCTGTTGTTGGGGCTCATCTGTTAGCTGCAGCGTTAGATGTGCCCGTTGTTGTTGCTGCTGCAGTTGCTGTTAATGTGGTTGCTGCTTGTCGTTGATTTGATGTCTAACTGTGGGGGCTACACATAAAAACGCGCTACCAAAACGTAAATGAAACACTGCAAAGAGAAAGGAGAGAACATTTTATTAGCATTTTCCAACAGTTCTTTTTAATACTTTTATGACAATTTTTTTTATTCTTTTTTATTATATTATTTTTAACAAAACGTTGTTGGGCTTGACATAAGTTGCCACACTCGACAAACACACGCACACACACAAACACACTCTAGTAGCATTTTGCCTCGGGAAAACAAGAAAAACTGGCAAAAGCAAATGCCAGCTGGCCACTTGAAGACTCAAGTTACAAGAAACACTTAGGGTCGAGCCTCCTTCGACCCTGCCCCGCCTCACCCCACACCCTTCCAAGCTGCCCAAAACAAAAAAAAAAAACCGTACAAAACCTAGCGAAATTAGTAAAAGGCGCCAAGTGTGAATTTCTTTCTCTGTCTCGCTCTATGGATCGGGAGTTGCGCAGGGTTTTTAGGTTCGTCGGGGCAGACGTTACGTAGGGGCCGCCTTTGTGTGCTTGCCGCTGGCAAAGTGCAAGTTTTTCTTTTCGGCCAGCAAGGGTTAACGGTTTAAAGCTTAGGTCTGCAAGTGCTCAAAGTACAGTGGTTACTATGTTTATGATTTTTCATTTTCTCAGAGTTACCAAAACATAATTCGAATTAGATTTGGTTAGCCATAAAGGTCGGCTAAAATAAATGAGTTGAAATCTGGGCTTAGGTGAAGATATGCGAAAATGTGATTATTGAAAAAGCGAAGCTTAGCCTAAGGTTCATTCTTTCAGAAGAATCTGTATAAAGAAAAGATAAAGCGTAAAGGTTAGAAAAAGAGACACAAGCCTGTTTTGCTTTAAAAATATTTGTATATTAGATTATATATTTATACACTATATATTTATATAATATAACTATATATTTTTACATAAAAATATATTTATAAACTTTATCGAAGCATACAAAAAAAAATAATAAATATATATATATATATCTGAAATTTCGGTATATATTGCTGTACAAACTTCTTATAGAATTAATAGATTTTCTATTATAAATATTTATTTTAATAATTAATTTTTTTAATTTATTTATTTTTTAATAATAAATTTATTATAAAATAATTTGTTTTGTATAAAAATAATATATATTTATAGCTTTTCTTTTTTGAATGATTTTTTTGTTATTATTTCTGAAGCTTCTTCCTCACTTTTCATTGTTTAATGTGCTGTATATACATTTATTTGTTATTAAAATTGTTATCAATTTTACTTTTAACATTCTAAATAAACAAAAATAATTTAAGATTTAAAGCATTTTTCTTGCAGTATTTCATTAAATTAAATCATTTCTACATCAGAGCTGCAAAAGCTTAAGCCCATAGCCTTATAGAGATCTCTTGCAATGTTGCGTGTGTGCATGTTTATGTATGTGTGTATTTATGTGCTTTGAGTTTGAGAAGCTGCTGTTGAGGCTTTTTCTTTATCTTCTTTGCTTGTCCTTTCCTCTCGTAAGCTCATCAGCTGCATAATCCGCATGTGAGACAACGCATTCAGCTGTCATATGTGTGTAACTGTGTGTGTATGTGTGAGAGAGTTATTTTTCCCTTGTTGCCAACGTGTCGTATACTCAACGCAGCCACCACCCAACAAAACAAAAAAGTTTTTTGTATTTATTTTTCATCTTTTTTTTATTTTGCCGCTGCATTCTTGTTGGCTTCATATATATTTTTTCGCACAGAGAGCAAGAGAGAAAGAGAGAGAGAGCGAGAGCATATTTTTATTGTATTTGCTCTTTAAATAAACAACAACATTTGCTGTTGAACACACACACACGCACAACAACTGCAACTGCATTGCGTTTTTGTTTTATTTTGTTTTCTCTTATTGTTTTTGCCTTTGGCAGTGCGCCCTGCGCTCCCCGTCGCTCTTTTCTTTCTTCTCTCGCCCTTCCCTCTACACACTCCATCTGCATACTGTTCGTTGCATTGCCCTGCCCCGGAGCAGCAAAACATGTTTTATATAATTTCCTGTACGCGTGGCACAAAAGCAGAAGCAGAAGCATAATCTCCATTGCTATCTCTGTCGCTTTCGATGTCTGCCGTCTCCCTCTAACATTCGTTGGCATTCTTTTGTCATGTGTTTTTACTGATAATAATAATGCATTTGCTGCAGTTGTTGCTGTTGCTTTTCATTGTTTATAATTGTTGCGTTGTGTGGGCGCCTTCAGATACATAGATACATTGCTATATACATATCTCCCATAACTGTCACATAAATATATATGTATATACAATATTTTCTTGTACTGTGTAAATTGCATTTCAGATATTTTTTCCTGCCTTTTGATTGATTAAAACAAAGCCCACCCAGCACATTGTTTTCTTCTTGTCACAAAACTTGTGAACAAAATATATAATAAACATGCAACATACTATATTCCTCTATGTGGGCGTGGCAGTCAATGAGAAAACACGCAATTTGCAGCTTGACTTGGCTTGGTTGGCAGAAAGATTATCAGTTGACAAGGCATAAGCAAGTAGATAGATTAAATTATATATTGTTAAATTAAATTTTATTTAAAGATTAATATCGATGTAAAGAATAGTGATTTTAAGTAAAGGAGTTTTAATTGCAATGCTTTATCTTAATCTGAATTTGCATCTAAATCTGAATAAGCGAAATGCTATCAATTCAAATACAATTATATTAATTAAATATTTGATATATTCTATTTGATATAATCTTAAGTTTCAACAATTCAACATTTGCTCAAAGCTCAGCGTAGCTTGAGTGCATCAGTACATGCAAAGCCAATACAAATCAATTTACACTCACTCACATACACACACATTAACATCGAGCTCACGCCGTTGTAACAGAGAACAGTATGCTTTACCTGCTAAATATATACCCACTGTTTTAACCCACACAGACAGCGCATAAATCCCAAGTCTCCATGCCCCCGCCCCGTCGACAACAAGTTTGGCTTGATCCCCACACAAAATCCAAACTTTTGACACTCGCTCCCAGGCTCGCTGCAATTGAGTGTAATTTTAATTTAATTAAAATCTAAGCACGTCTGCAAAATATAAGAAATACTATAATTACGTTTTCGACATGAGAAATTTCGCTGAAATCGCGCCACACTAAAGCTACACAAGCAACAGCAACACAGCTACAAAAAACTTCTTGCGTTTCTAAACGGTGATTTAGCCATTAAGCTAACGGTAAAATGTGCAGAATCTTGCGCGCAGACAGAGCAGCAAAAGAAGCTTAAGTAGAAGCATTGCCAGTAATGTAGCATGAGACTAAAGAGAGAAGGAGAAGGGAGAAGGGCGCGCAGGTAGTCAACGTTGATTTTTCGTTTGCGCGTTTTGTGCGACTCTTCGCAGCGACCGTTGCATAACTCAAAACCGCTCTCTCGCTCTCTGTCAAAGTGTAGTTTCTATATTGAAGCTTGCATTTAGTTGTTGTAGCTGAACTTGCTCTCGCAGTTCCAAGTAGAGTTGTTTTTTGTTCTTCTACAACGCAGCCGGCTAATTCGTTAGCTGTGTGCGTGGCTCCGGCTGTACGTTATGTAACCAAAGAGAACCATACGATAAGGCAAAATCCAAAACCAAACTGAAATGCACATTCCAACAATTTCACTCAAGCGAGAATCAAACAATTTGTCAATTCGTCATGCGCTCCAGTCACGGAAATACAAATAAGCAAAGCTGCGATATTATTAAGTATTTCTCTTCATGTCGTGTTTTTTCTTTCGGTTATTTGTTTACTCCCGAAATTTACACGCAATAAATAAATACAGGGCGCACAAAGAGGCAGGCAGGCAGCCGCAGACAGCGACGGCTATGGGCGAGTGAGAGCGACTGAGTGAGTGAGCAAGGCAAACTGTATGTGTGTGTGTTTGTGTACTATCAAAATGCGTTTTGTTTACGTTTTGCCTGCCACTCGATGCAGTTTTTTTCCTTATTCTTCCTAAGTTGCTGATAAAAATAAAGCCACAAACAACATTTGAAGCAAAGACGAGGAGAGACGACAATAAGGCGTACAAGATCTAGACTTGTGTAAAAAATATATCAAGCGCAAAAAGGCAAGAGTAGGAGAGCCTATGTGTGTGGGACAGAGAAAGCGAGAGGGGGGAGAAAAAGAGAGTGAGAGGTAGAGCAGTGCCACGAACGGCGCTTTTAATTAACATGGCTTTGTGAAAATTTAGTGAATTCCATTTAATGAAGTGGCGTGTTAATTAACAGTACCCACAGCTCCAGAAAACCAGATCCATCGAGTCCCCATACATCTAGTATGGAGCTTATCGTAATAAGTAATTGTTGCTCATGAAGCACTCGCTTGGAACTAATAGCTTCAAGTTTGATCTTAACTATATATTTGACTAACTTAATGTCATAGTATTAGTGAGCTTTCATTTCAGCGCTGAGCACAGCTTTCATGCCGCAGTTAAGGGCCAATCAGATAAGCTACTAAATGTTATGTCTAAGAACACGTACTCATATCTTTAAAAAGCCACAAACTCTTATCGAACGTATATTTAAATACCGAAATTTAGATGTATAAATAGCTTTCATATATTATCTTTACAACATCAATTAAACAATTCAGAAAGCGTTTGCTTTTAGAGGAAAGATACGTAAATTTGTAATATATTCAAAAGAAAAAATATATTGAATTTTTTATTTTAAGAAAATTATTAAAAAATAGAATGTTAAATAATTATTTATTAGAAAATATATTTGATGGATTGGACCATAAATAAAAATATAAAGGAAAATGTAATATTTATTATATTTATTATAAAGGAAAAAAATTTCATTAATTATACCCTGATCCCATTAAAAATGGGAAATCAGGGTATAATGGTTTTGTGCAAATGTATGTAACAGGCAGAAGGAGGCGTGGCAGACCCCATAAAGTATATATATTCTTGATCAGGACGACAAGCCGAGTCGATTGAGCCCTGTCCGTCTGTCTGTCTGTCCGTCTGTCCGTCTGTCCGTCTGTCCGTCTGTCCGTCTGTCCGTATGTGTGAACGCGTGGATC